CTAGGCGGCCTCGGGCGCCGCCCTCGCCGAGCTCCGCCCGGCCTCCGCGGCCCCTGCCTCCCTGGCCTCAGCTCGCGTGGGGAGGCCGCGGGCCAGAGCCGGACGCGGGACAGCCTGGCGGCCGTGAGCCGCCCGACGCGGACAGGGGCCACGGCGGGCAGCACGGCCGGTGCCGCTGGGCGCCGCCCTGGAGCTCGCGGGGAGCCAGCCAGGCCCGCCCGCCGAGATGCCGCCGGGTGCGCGGGGGCTTGTCCCAGCCCGGGGCGGCCCGTGCCCCCTGCCCCGGTGCCATGGTCCCAAGCGTGCATGCCTGCGCCGGAACGCGCCTCGCCGAGAGGAATAAAGGCTGACTTCTCTGAGCACAGGTGCTTTGCGGTGCAGGGCTGGGGGGACTGCGGCCTCGTCCGGCGCTGGCTCTCCCACCTCCGTGTGGCTCTCCGTCCTCTGCTGCCTTTGCCCTTCGCCGAGAAGAGGACAAGCCTGGGGGCCTCAGACCCTCGGGGACGTCCTCAGAAGATGCCAGGCCTTGGGTCTCGGCCTCCGGGGTTCTGCAGCGAGCGAGAGGCAGCTCCCAGAACAGCGCGGTTGCAGAGGGGCTGCCTGTCCCTTGTGCCTGCCGGGTGCGCGTGGGGCCCTGCCTGCTCGGAGCCCGCTTGCAGGTGGCCGGGCGGGCGCAACGGGCGACTCAGCTCAGGCCTGGACTGTGGTTTCCAGGGCTGTCTCTGGCCTCCGTACCCTCTCAGGGTAGGTGGCACCACCACAGCTCTGTTGCCTGTTCCATCCGCCAAGGGGCATGTTTCTGCTTGGGTTTTTTTTTCTCTTAATTTTTTTTGAGTTGGTGTCTCACACCGTTACCAGGGTTGGAGTGTGGTGGCACACTCACGGCCACCCCAGCATCGACCCGCTGGGCTCAGGAGATCAATCCTTCCGCCTCAGCCTCCCAAGTAGCCGGAACTACAGGCACTACCATGCCCGGCTAATTTTTGATTTATTGTAGAGACGATGTCTCGCCAAGTTCCCCGGGCTGGCCTCGAACCTACAGGCTCAGGCAGTCCACTCGCCTTGGCTTCCCAAAGTGCTGGGATTACAGGCTGAACCACTGAGGCTGGCCTGTGTAATTTGATTTTTCCTCAATCCCTGTTTGGTTGAAATTCCTTTTTTTCCTCTTTTAATTTTGTTTCTATGGAATGATCCACACGCCATAAAAATTCACCTCTTAAAAGTGTACAGGCCAGGCACAGTGGTTCCACGCCTGTCATTCCAACACTTTGGGAGGCTGAGGCAGGAGGATCACTTGAGCCCAGGAGTTTGAGGCCAGCCTGGACATCATAGCGAGACCTCATCTCTACCTGAAAAATCAAAAAGTCTGGTGAGCCTGGTGCCACTTAGAGTCCCAGCCACTCAGGAGGCTACGGCAGGAGGATCATTAGAGCTGAGGAGTTGGAGACTGGTGAGCCATGACTGCCCACTGCACCCCCCCATCCTGGACAGCAGAGCAAGACTCTGGCTTTTTTAAAAAAAGGAAGCCAGGCTCAGTGGCTCAGCCTGTCATCCTGCGCCTTGGGAGGCTGAGGTGAGTGGATGGCCTGAGCCCACGGGTTCGAGACCCGCCTGGGCAACTTGGCGAGACCTCGTGTCTACAATACATCAAAAAATCAGCCGGGCATGGTAGTGCGTGCCTATAACTCCAGCTACTCGGAAGGCTGAGACGGAAGGATCGCTGGAGTCCAGCAGGTCGAGGCTGCGGTGGCCGGAAGCGGCCACCGCACTCCAGTCTGGGTGACAGAGTGAGACTCCAACTCAAAAAAAAAAGGAAAGAAAAAATGTACAGTCTAGTGGTTTTAGTACATTCACAGAGACAGGAACACATGTCCACACCAAGACTTGCATGTGAACATTCATAGCGTGACTCATGCTGGCTCAAAGGTGGACACGACCCAAGTGTCCATCCAGGGATGGTGACCACCCACAGCGTGGCCCGTCCGCTGCTGGAACATGGCTCAGGCACGAAAAGGAAGGAGGCTGGGACACAGGCCATGACGCGGATGGACCCTGAGGCCGTCAGGCTCAGTGAGACCCAGATGAAGAAGGACCACGGCATGTGACTGTTTCCATGAAACATCCAGAACAGGCAAAGCCACGGAGCTGGAACACGCGGATCTGTGGGGGAGGGGGTGGGGAGTAACACCCATTAGGGATAGGGTTTCTATTTGGGGCAATGAGAATGTTTTGGGATGAGCTAGAGGCCATGGTCACACATCTCGAAGAGGCTTTTTTTTGAGTCTGTCGCTCAGACTGGAGGGCAGCGGCCACTCCCAGCCACCGCAGCCTTGACCTGCTGGGCTCCGGCCATCCTTCTGCCTCGGCCTTCCGAGTAGCTGGAATTACAGGCGCATGTTACCACGCCCGGCTCATTTTTTTTGATGTAGAGATGAGGTCTCACTGCCCAGGCAGGTCTCGAACCTGCGGGCTCAGGCAATCCAC